TTGGGTTCGATTTCATTTTTTGTGGCCATTGCACCTTCGTGCCCAACTTCTCCAGTGCATACACTATCTCTGAAGGGGAAACATAAAAGTTATGAGTAGATAATAGTGGAGGCATACCTCTTTCGTTTTGAATGGGTGCGGTGTCTCATAGCACGACATTCGTATGCCTTGGAGGAGGCGGGTTAGATGTTCTGACATAAGGTTGATGCCTTTCGCGATTGAAATGCGGGGGCTGATCTCTTCACCCATCGTTACGTTGACCTCTCCTTGCCTCGGTTTGAACTGACGTTAGTCGCTGAGTCGGGCCGTTTATATCGTTTTCGTCTGCCCTTACCTAGGCGCAGTAGGCGTTGTGAATTTCTTCCCATGTGGTGGTGGTGGGGGAGGGTACTTCATGAGTCTGTTGAGCAATTTTTTGGTTGCCTTTGATCCGTTCCTGTTTAACCCATTTTGGAAGGCCGCTACCGCCATTCCTTCCGACACATTCGGCAAGTCCATCCTTACTCTGTTGAATCGGGCCAGGAAGTCTCGGAGTCCCTCGCCCGTCGTTTGCCTGATGGCGAAGATGTCATTGACCCTAGCTTCAGCCTTCTTCGCCCCTGCATGAGCGGTGGAGAATTTATCCGCCATCTCCTAAAATGTTGATATCGATCGTGCTGGTAGCTGGGAGTACCATGTTAATGCTCCTCCTGTCAAAGTCTCACCGAACTTTTTTAACAGCACAGATGGTACTTGTTCTTTTGACAGGTCATTGCCTTTTATCGCAGTGATATAATGGATTAGATGATCCTCTAGATCCGTGGTCCCGTCTTATATTCTCAAGTATGGCGGCATTTTGAAGGTTTTCTTGATGGGGTAAGGAGCAGCTCTCTCGCTGTATGGCTGTTCAACGAATCGGCCCACATCGCGTTTTGGTAGTAGCTTAGGGGCGCCAGGTATTTTGTCAATCCTTTCCTAGTGCTCTTTCATTTGATCACGGAGTGCTTTGTTCTCGTTTTCCATCTCTTCCGTTTTCTTTAGGATGGTCATAGTGCATCATCGCTTGCGTTGATGACAGTGTGGGTGTTGCTCGTTCTCGTAGTGCCTGGCTCGCCGATGGTAGCTGCGATTTCTGTCGTTGGTAAGTCTTCGACATTTCCTTGAGGGGGTTTTTCGAACATGTTGCTCAGAGCAGTTGTCAACCACTCCTCCAGCAGCTTTTTGATTACTGGTGGTGTTTCCCTCGTCATAGACGTGGAAGCTCCCCTTTCGCGCAAGACCGTCAGATTCTCATGTGGAGAGGGTGAGATCTCCCCCTCCGGTGTATCTCTTGGTGTTGTATTCTCGGTGTCTTCTCTACCGGCTTCATTGAGGGAGCTTAAGAGGTTGTTTGATACATCTGCTATCATCTTCAGCCTTGCTTCTTTCTCCGCCATTGTTGGTTTTTATGGGGTTTGAAGAACAGTAATCGTCACTTTCAAGAACCTCGATGAGAACTATGATTTCAGCTATGGAAATCCCCACAAATGGCGTCAAATTATTTGACTCAAAAGATTTTAAGTTCTTTTTAAGCAAACCAATCAAAGATGAAGGGATAAATCGTAGCCGAAGATAATAAACTCTAGGATGATAATGGTAGAGCGAGATAAGAAAAATAGAGAGATACTAGTAGAGAGAGAGAGAGCTAATAATTCTGTATATTCCAAACTCCCAAAAAACTCTCTATTACAAAGCTCGAATCCCTCTTATATATTGAGAGATTTTCCTTAATCGTGGAGGCGACGGATTAAGGAATATCTACCACGCCAAATACAATGCTAATACGATGGCGTCTCTCCTTCCACCTCTGGGTCGTACCCCTGTGTCGACTCGTAGGTTTTAGGTCACTGGTCATACTCGTTATATGCCGTGGTCGATCAAATTCGGACCTATACAATAGGTTCCCTATACCTATGGCGGTAAAATGTTTCTAATTTGCTTGGGGAAAAAAGTTTCTAATTTGTCGTTATTCTTGTTTTTTGGGAACATTTTTGTTCTTAAAGTCATATTATTTAAAATGACGACACTATAACGACTTATTGCTACTACTACTCCTGTATTCTAGGATTCTTTTTCCTTTTTTAATTTTCCAAGATTCAAATAGAGTGATATTTCACTAAAATTAAAATTGTATTATGCCTCAACTTGAAATAAGAAAGATAACCAGTTTAGTATTTCTTCGTGGGTTTTAAATACATATAAATTTTATATTCAAAAAGTGAATATGTGTCGATTTAAGATTAAAGTTGATTAATTTGAAGCTTTATTTTGACTAACAAAGCATTTCCTTTTTAGTTTTCTAGTCGTTTATTTTTCATATCGAGTGTATTGTGCAATTATGACGGGCAAAAGAAGAAAAAACATTGTGCAACTGCAATTAGTGCACAAAATGACAAAAGTAACAAAAGAAGTACTATCAGTATTGTAGATTATCGTCAACTGATTTTGTTTCCTCCAAATTGTTCTTTTTTAGTTTCTCTCTTTTTTTGGCGGGAACGTCTAAGAGCCCGTTTGGACAAAAAAAACTTTCTTTTTTTCAAATTTTTTTTATTTTTTTCGAAATCAATGTTTATTTTTAAAATATCTAATTTTTACTTGAAGATGCAATTTGAAATTTTTTAAAAATTTGAAAAACTCCAAAAAATTATTTTTCAAAATTTTCACTCAAATCACTCACAAAACTTCAAAAATAACTTAGATTGAAATTTATGTCCAAACACAACTCTAAATTTCAAATACTTTTTTCACTTGAAATTTTTTTTCACCATTTTTTGAAATTTTACAATTCTTATATCCAAACGCCTACTAAGAGAACTCCCTGCAAGATTTTCAGAGTTTCAGCGCTCTGGTAAGAAAATGAGTTTCCTATTCTCTTAAATTAAATATGGTATGATTTTATTTTGACTTTTCCCGTTTTTGTGAGACTCACCCAAACTGTTACGTCCGTCAAAAGTAGGTGCTACAGAATACGATAAATGTGTATTCGTATTTAATATTTACATTTCAATCAAACAATTCAACATGGATAGTTTAAAATTAAAATTAAAATAATAATACATATTAGAGTTAACCATAAATGTGTGCATACATGATACATATTTTGTATTTATTTGTTTAGTCTAAACATTGAGTGCGGTAAGTTTTTATCCATAAATACTTGTCATTTTTAAAAAAAAAACTAAGAAAGAACTAATGTTTTTTTTTAATTTTACCTTTAACATTAATTGAGTGAACATTTGTGGAGAGAGGTTAATGTACTGTAAAAGTACAAAAATTAGTAAGATTAACTTAGTCAAACAAATTTATTACTAATATTTTCTTAAAAAGATATGTAAAAGATTAATATGATTAAGTAATTAGGAGTAGACGAAAAAAGCAATATGTAAGGTAAAAATAGGAAGATATAGCCAGTTTTCGGACTGGTCATTCAAAAATAGCCAGCGTTTACGAAGTCAATGAAAAATAGCCACTATTTTACTGCAACAGAAACCGGTCCAGCATAATATATTGGAGTTCGGTGCACTTGTGTATGAACTCCAGCATATTATGCTGGACTGGTATACTTTGCTGACTCCAGTATAATATACTGGAGACTGGAGCACCGGAGCTTCAAACTCCAGTATATTATATTGGACAATTATACTTGCTGGAACTCCAGTATATTATGCTGCAGTTCTAGTGTACTTATGCTGGAACTCCATCATATTATGCTGGAGTTCCAGCATACTTATCCTGGAGCTCCAGTATAATATGCTGGAGTTCAAGCATACTTGTGCTGGAACTCCAGTATAATATACTGACGTATTTTCCGGATTTTGAACAGTGTTTTTGCTCAAATTTATCTTTACATGAAAAGTGGTTAAATTTCGATTACTTTTAAAACTGGACTATTTTTGAACGATCAGTTGTAAATCTGTCAGCTTTTGAATTTCTCCCATATGCAAGTTATAACATTCTCTACTTCAAATATAGAGTAAGAAATTAGCAAGAATGTCAATTTGCTACTTTTCATTGGTCAAGCACTTGTAGATTTTCATGTTCAAAGTACACATTTGGACAAATTGCTTGATAGCAAAAAGCTTTCCTTTATAAAGGTTATGTCTATGACTTGCCTAACGCCTTTATCTAGAAGTACAATGCTCGTATTTCCTTTTTTATTTCTTTATACATTAAGGGGTCATTTGGTAGGGTGTATAAGAATAGTACGGAATAAGGTGTATTAGTAATGCATATATTAGTAATGCAAGCATTAGTTATGCAAATATTATTTCTTATCTATTGTTTGGTGTGGTGTATTAAAATTATAATGCATTGCATAATTTTTTTTTAAAAATAGTTGCTTACAAAAAATGTCTTCCATATTCTCTAGCTTTAAGGGACTTTAAAGACAGTTTTGTCTTTATTCATGCTAATGCATGCACTAAAGTCTTGATATTACTAATGTCATGGTTTTCTATGCATTACTTATGCATAAGATAATGTCAAGTATGGTGTATAACTATACCATACTTATGCATTACTAATACAAGTATTAGTTATACACAAGTTGAAAAAAGGTACCAAATAATGTATTATTAATGCATAGAGCTAATGTTTACATTATTTTTTCTAATATCTCCTACCAAACGACCCCTAAGTGTCCATCTCTGCCGAATTTGAGGGTGCCCTTTCTGTGTTTTCTATAATATTTCCAAAATGGACTTATTCATATCATATACAACGGCCGTTGTTCTAGGGATCTGTATTGTATAGTACAAGTTTTGACTATACTTTAGGGAGTAAATATTTATCTGCATTCGGTGTTTTCATCAAATTAAGTAATTTAATCTTAGCAGTAAAAAATTAAAGTGAGAAGATATAATTTAATCATAGTTAAGTGATAAATGTGTATTAGTGCGGCTAATTTTTTAGCATATTCAGAGCAAATGGGTTGCAATCAATGTGGACACAGAAGACATGAAGCCAAACCAACCAAGATCCATCCAGCCTGGTTTTTCTAAATTAAAGTTACTTCTTTTTTCTGCTCAACCACCCAATATGTTACTTCTATATGTATTTATGCCAAGATTTCACAATCTTAAAGTCAACTGTTTAGACTGCCCAGTTGGAACGTCTATCCTCAGTAGACAAAAGAAAATGTCAAAAGCCCCTTACAGATGAGAAAAGGACAGGTTGATAACAAATGAGAGACAATATGCTCTGGAGATTATTTTTTGAATTTTGATTAGAAGGTTGGACTAATAATAGAGAGAGTTGGCAGCAGGCACCATGTGTTGAAATTTAAAGCAAAGAATGATATAGTCAATTAGAAAATAGTTTTATATATGTGTCTCTATAATCTATCTGGTTCTACTTAAGAACTGGAAATGTGTCTTGTCTTGAAACAACCTGATGTAGCTGCAGCCTACAAATAGGTGTTTTTTCTGCTTTAGACTTTTGTTTTCTCAGCTTGTAGTCATGGGAGGCAGTTACTTCTTGATCATCCTTCTGTTGAACTTTCTGCAGCTTCTTTATCCTTCTGTTTCACTTCCTTTGTGTACTGATTCAAGTAAGTTTTTGGTGTTGTCATGACTTCCCATTTGCAGTTATCTATTCTTGTTCTAATTTCAGTTCTCTTGATGCTTTATAGGGGCTCCTTTCCCTCAAAAGACTCCTTTGACTTTCTGCTCTTACAATGGAACTTCATGCTGCAATTCCGGTGATGATAAACAATTGAAGACCCGATTTGATGCTATGAATATTTCTGATTCTGGTTGTGCTTCTCTTGTAAAGTCAATCCTCTGCGCGGTAAGAACATGATCTGTGTAATTTTATATTATCTTGCTAAATGTAACCACTTGTTTTGAGTAATCATCACCAAATTAGTGGCCTTAAAATTCATGAACATCTAGTTAGTCTTCAGTAGATTAAAACCCCTCACGAGCGCGGAAAAATGTAGTTGTAGCTCTTGCTCCATGCTAGAGAATTCTTTAAATTAGGCATTTTTCCAGATACAGCTAAATTTAAAGAACAGTAATTGCATTAATACAGGTATTAGCCTCATGGTGCTTTTACAAGCTTCTAAGCGACTAAATAAATAATACTCCTACCTTTGTTGCATATATAGTTAGGAACATATTTACTATTTCCTATTTTCCTAGTCATGCAATATAAATATATGTTTTAGGATATCCATTTGTATTAAGGGCCTATATTATATCTGTAATTCGTTAGCTTGCTAATTATTTATATGCTCTATCTTATGTAAACCAGAAATTCATGCTATTTAGCAACTCTTGGTTTGCTGAGGTCAAAAGACTCAATCTCCCCACAATTATCTGTATTAAGATGGCTCTCTGAGATCCTGTTATGAATTATTTGGAAGCTATGTAACTGGTTATTGAAGATGCTAGGACTAGAAATATTACTGAAGTATCTGCTGTCCAAATGATAAAATTTTAATTATGCATCTATCTTCCTTATTGGGTCTTGATGCAAGGACTTCTGTATTTTCACCTTCTGCAGAAATGTGATCAATTTTCAGCAGATCTCTTTAGTACTAGTTCTGCTCCTAGACAACTTCCTATACTGTGCAATTCCACAAATACAGCAAATTCTAAGCAAACTAGACAAGTTACGGATGACTTTTGCTCTAAAGTATGGACTACATGTCAAAATGTATCCATCATGAATTCTCCCTTTGCTGCTTCCTTGAAAGGTCAAGCTCCAACACCTGTAAAGTCCAATTCCACCAAGATGACAGATCTATGGCAATCACAAGACGATTTCTGTAATGCATTTGGAGGTGCTGCTTCTGGTGTTGATGGATCAGTATGCTTTGCTGGAGAACCTGTTACCTTAAATACAACTGTACCTCCAAGTCCTCCAGGCGGTTTGTGCCTCGAGAAAATAGGAAATGGTAGTTACCTCGACATGGCTGCTCATCCTGATGGCTCTAATCGTGCCTTTTTCTCGAATCAGCAAGGAAAAATATGGTTGGCTACCATTCCAGAAGTCGACTCTGGAAAGGTCTTAGAGCTTGATGAAACAAATCCTTTTCTGGATCTAACTGATGAAGTTCATTTTGACACTCAATTTGGTATGATGGGGATTGCATTTCATCCAAAATTTTCGCAGAATGGCCGTTTCTTTGCTTCGTTCAATTGCGATAAGCAAACATGGCCTGGATGTGCGGGAAGATGCTCTTGTAACTCGGATGTGGATTGTGATCCATCAAAACTACCTTCTGATAGTGGTTCACGGCCATGTCAATATCAATCAGTTATAGCAGAATTTACTGCTAATGGGACAGCATCCCAGTCTTCACTGGTATTTTTTCAGTCTAAAGGAGTCAACTTTTTTCCCTTTTTTATTTGACTCTGAATGATCATGAATGAGTATGATTTTTCCAGGCAAAAACTGCCAGCGCGGAAGAAGTCAGAAGAATATTCACGATGGGCCTTCCTTTTACATCTCATCATGGAGGACAGATTCTTTTTGGACCTAAAGATGGTTATTTGTACTTCATGATGGGTGACGGCGGAGGTACAGGAGATGCTTACAATTTTGCTCAAAACAAGAAGTCATTGCTTGGAAAGATTATGAGATTTGATGTCGATAGCACACCAAGTAAGTTGTCTTCAATTTCTAGAACCATACTGTACATCTGGACATCCCAGCTCCTAAATTATGTACTAGTATTTTATATATCCATTTGCATGTGCTAACTTTGATGGTCTTGCCACTGCTCTAAGCTATTATAACGTATGTTGTAAAAGGATTTTAAACGGCTACAACTTTGTAGCGCTGTTCAGAAAATAGCAGTCTCTTGTCTTAGTCATCTTTGCCAAGTACACAAAGAAAAGCTCATTGCCAGCAAATGATCATTCCTGATCTTTGGAAAAATTCTAGCTGCTTATTTTTTCAACTAATATGGCTAGCAGCACTTGGTGAGACGAAAGTAATTTGCCTTCTGGAGGATGCAAGTTTTCATCTGGTTCTGTGTCTGTCAGGCTTTTTGTTCTGCTTTGTTTGCAGCTGTGGTGAATTTCTTGCCAAAATCTTATATGATGATCCATGCAGTGTTAAATTTTGTGAAAATGAATCGTTTTAGTGATGAAAATGAAGCGATTTTTATTCTGCTGATTGCCTCTTATTTGTGTATATGATTGTTTTAGGTGCTGAGGATATTAGCCAGCTTGGTTTATGGGGAAACTACACCATTCCAAAGGATAATCCTTATATTGAAGATAAAGAGTTGCAGCCAGAAATATGGGCACTAGGAATGCGAAATCCTTGGCGCTGCAGCTTTGATTCTGCAAGGCCATCTTATTTCATGTGCGCAGATGTAGGCCAGGTAATGTGCGACAATCTTACTCTCCAAGAAGTTCTCATAGGACATGTATGTTTAACTGCTAATATTTGCTCTTTAATTCTTATGTGTCCACCTTCAAACTCCACATTCTATGCAAAAACTCCATACATTCCCTCACTTCAGAAGTTTATTTAGTTGGCATTGTGGCTTTGAGGCATTGTTTTTAATCGGTAATGTATGATTTTTCCCATAGGATCATTATGAAGAGGTGGATATAATCACCAAGGGAGGAAACTATGGCTGGAATCTGTACGAGGGTGCCCATCCATTCGCTCCTCCAAAATCACCTGGAAAAAACACATCTATGAGCTCAATAAACACAATTTTCCCAGTCATGGGTTACAATCACACTGAAGTAAATAAGAACGAAGGATCAGCCTCAATCACTGGTGGATACTTCTATAGGTCCACGACTGATCCTTGCATGTCTGGAAGGTATGTCTACTAATTCAATGTTGTCAAAGTTGAACGTTTATACTATTTGTTTTTACTTTTATGTTTATGACATACATGAACTGTTGCAGGTATCTGTTTGCGGATTTATATGCAGGTGCAATGTGGGCAGGCACTGAAAGCCCTGAGAATAGTGGAATATTTAACACCACGGAAATTTCATTCACTTGTGCTGGGAATTCTCCGATAAATTGTGCCTGGGTTCCAGGAAGTTCAGTTCCAGCTCTGGGCTACATATTCTCATTTGGTGAGGATAACAATAAGGATATATACCTCCTCGCGAGCAGTGGCGTATACAGGGTTGTTCGTCCCAGTCGTTGCAAATACACTTGTGCAAAGGAAAATGCTACTGACATTGGCACACCAGCTCCTGCTACTTCCCCTCCTTCAGCAGCAGTTATGTTAACAGGTTCATACAAGAATTTAGTACTCCTCATGTTGTCCTTTTTGTTGATGGTGGTCAGTTGATACCAGTATGCTGCTTAAGCTATTTTATGTATAGAGGAAGTCAATAGGCCACTTTGTTAAGTATTATACAATTATGCTCTTTTTACTTTCTTTCAGTTCATTGCATGAGTAGTATCTATTGTTTCTGGAATTTTTGGCGATTGGATGTAATGACCACCTTTTAGAAGGCAATGATGGCCAACAATTTATAAGGATTATGACCTAATTTATCATCAATAAATTATAGTATTTGAGAAGAGTATAGGTCCAATTGTCCAAGGGAATCTATTAAGAGCGAAAAGTCGTGGCTTGTAAGAACAAAGGTTGTGCTTTCTCTTTTTAAAAAATTTCAACCATTGGAAGGGAATGACCACAAAATGGATAAGAATGATACTTTAATCAATTTCAAAATCTAGCTCATGAGATGTGAATTCTTTGACAGCACCGCAGCACATCAAGCTTTGAACATGTTAGAATTAGTCAGCTATATTCACTTGTATTTGGCTCTGACTGCTTTGGGCTTAATTATTTGTATTGGGTTGTAGCTAGGTCTGTATTATTTTATACCAGTTCTCTCATTTGTAGTGGGTTCTGAGTCGGTCAAACATTTTGGACCTTATATAAGTAATAGAAGCTTCCAGAGGAAGCACGACAATCATTTTGCTAAAACCAATTCTCTCTCTTTGTATGAGATGATTCTTCTCCTATGTTGAGTTTTGAATCCTTCAGATTCTAATACGGTGTCAGAGCAAATGAAAATCACCTAGTTTCCGTTCGTGCGTTTGAGTTTCATGGTTATTTTTCCTCATTCTGTGTTGTTTGCGGTTGGACGAAACCCTAAGCTCATCTTCTTTCTGTTCTAGTTTCGTTTTCTATCACTTTCAGCTCATAATCTAGTTGTAATCGAAGAGTCGATTGAATTTCCCTTCTTCGCTTCCTGTACGAGCATATCGACGGCTGAATTCAGGAGTTTTTGGCATTTCTGAAACTTTAACAAAGGCATTTCATGGCAAATTCCGATCAACACCTCACTTTTTAAAGAATCATCCTTGTGAATTCGTAATATTTTTTTTTAGAAATCCTTTTGGTTGAGCAGTATAGTTGTTTGATTTCTTCAATTAGTTCTGTCTCATATTGTTAGTTTACAATGGGTGATTTAAGTGACCACGATGAACAGTCTAACCACAATCAATCTCTCCTATTTGAAGATGAACCTGTCCCCCCCCCCTTCTTATCCTTTCTATTTGCATCCATCTGATAATCCCGGGGTTATGTTAGTTACTAAACAGTTTAACGGGACATGTTTTGGTGCTTGGAGGAGGGGAATTATTATCGCACTTTCTGCAAAGAAGAAAATAGATTTTATCAATGGTAGTTATACTCGACCTCCTACTGATTCTCCACTCTTCGACCAATGGGAACAGTGTAATTATATGGTCATTAGTTGGATTCTCAATTCTTAGATCCAGACATTTCTCAAAGTGTCATATATTCTAAAACTACCAAAGGACTTTGGGATGATTTGAACCAACGTTATGGTCAATCCAATGGTGCTCGTATGTATGAAGTTCAAAAGGATCTGAGTTCAGTTTCCCAGGGTTCTCATGTGAGTGAGTATTTCAACAAGGTTAAGAGATTTTGGGATGAGATGGAGTTTTTAAACACTGAATCTTACTGTGTTTGTGAATGCAATTGTGGGGGTAAACATAAGATGATAAAGAGGGACCAAAACTTGAAGTTAATGCAGCTTTTAATGAGCTTAAATAAAATCTTCAATAATGCTAGAGGAAACATCTTAATGATGGAGCCACTGCCTGATGTGAGCAAAGCTTATTCTTTGGTTATCCAGGATGAGAAACAAAGAGGTATTCAGAATTGAGTGTGTTTCAATCTGACTCAGCCTCTTTCTCTGTTGGATCTAATTACAATCCTAAGCCCTCTTTCAACAATTCTAAGCGCTCTTTCACCAATTCCTCACTCAACATTCTAAAACCACTTACAATCCTCAGTCCCAAAGAAAAATTTCACCGATCAGAATCAAAATCAAAAGGTGATTTATGATGCAAAAGGGGTTCCAGATCCTAGGAAGTTATTCTGCAGGTATTGCAAAAAGAATGGACATGTGATAGAATAATGCTACAAACTACATGGTTATCCCCAAAACTTCAAGTTTGGCAATAAAAATGTCAGAGTTGCTGCCACCACATACTCGAATCATGAGACTAAAGCTGACAATGCCTCTAAGAGTTCCAGTACATCCACCACCATAACTACAGATCAGTACAAGCAGTTGATGAACATCCTTCAAAATGTGAAGTTGTTGATGAAGGCTAGAGTCAGCTCCCTACCGCCTCCGCAAATTTTGTAGGTATACTTACTTGTTTCTGTCATATGAGTTGTGGTTCTTGTTCATGTTCTAAATCTCATTTGAATCCTGATTCTTGGATTATAGACTCTGGAGCAACAGACCATATGACCTCCAATAAAACTTTGCCTACTAATGTCGTTAACTTACCAATTCCTATTCTTGTTACTTTGCCGAATGGATACAAAGTTAAAGTAACTTCTACTGGTACATTTCAATTAATTCATTTGTCACCCTATCCAAAGTACTATAATTACCAATATTTAAGTATAATCGTATTTCTGTATGTAAACTTACTTTTGACACATCTTTGCTTTTAACTTTCTCTTCAAATGCATGTTTCCTATAGGGCTTTTCTCTAAAGAAGCCATTGGGACTTGGTAAAATGGCTGAAGGGCTCTACTTGCTCAACTCCAACACTCTCAATTCCACAGAATCATAGTTTGTTTGTTCTACTATTTCCTTTTCACTCTCAGTTCATATAAATAATGTCATTGTGAATAAGTCTTATATTTTGTGGCACAATAGACTAGGATACCTTCCTTTCTCAAAATTACAGAAAATCACTTTTATCAATGTTCCATCTTGTGAGAGACACCATTTCATTTGTGATGTATGCCAACTTGCTAGACAACAAAGATCTCCTTTTTCCAAATAGTCATTCTCATGTTTCACATATTTTTTATCTTGTTCATGTGGATATATGGGCCCCTTATGTCACGACCCAAACTGAAGGGCCGCGACGGGCACCCGGTGCCTTACTCAACCGAGTACCAACATAACATATCTTTCTTATTATACTATCTTGAGTAAATGAGCCAGAAACCCATCATGAGATAACAAGAATAAAACGTAAGGGAATACTCAACATATGACGACCCAACATGATATACAAACTTATACATGTGACATACGGGCCTATAAGGCCGACATGACCATTTGTAAACTCAACACATAGGCCAACAAGGCCATAAAAGTATCCATAAACCTAACATCTGTATACAAGTCTCTAAGAGTACATAAAATCATAAAGGTCGGGACAGGGCCCGCCATACCAATCAATACATATCCAAAGCATACTGACCAAATAGGAAACTCCGGAGCAAGTGGAGTGCACCAACACCTCCGCTGAGCTGATAGCCTACTAGGAAGACTGTCAACCTATCAATCGGGACCTGCGGGCATGAAACGCAGCGTCCCCAGGCAAAAGGGACGTCAGTACAAATAAAGTACCGAGTATGTAAGGCAGGAAAGCATAAACAAGAACATTAATGTAAAGAGAGATAGAGGAGATACAACCTGTAACATCTGAGTGCCTCTGGGGGATACTGACATGAAATGCATAATACATATATATACATAAACTTTTAAAAACATACGTCTCTGTGGGCATCATCATCATATCGTACCCAGCCTCAAAGAGGACTCGGTAAAAACGTACTCGGCCATCATAAGGCTCGGTAGAATTGTACCCGACCACGTGGAGCTCGGTAAACCCAACTGATCAGTGGTTGCACAATAGGTGTCGTACCCGTCCTACTTTAGCGCAACTCGATAGAGTAAAATAAATGTTATATATAATGCATGCTAGACTCATGGAATCACGTTCTAAACCTTTTGGAGTGACTTAAGGTCATTGCACCTTCGATTAACATTATGGAAATCCCTACCATCAATATGAACCTTAGTAGGATTTAAGGATCCTACACACTTGCNCTTATTATACTATCTTGAGTAAATGAGCCAGAAACCCATCATGAGATAACAAGAATAAAACGTAAGGGAATACTCAACATATGACGACCCAACATGATATACAAACTTATACATGTGACATACGGGCCTATAAGGCCGACATGACCATTTGTAAACTCAACACATAGGCCAACAAGGCCATAAAAGTATCCATAAACCTAACATCTGTATACAAGTNACTCAATCTACCATTGCATAAGGAGATTCAAATTGAATAAAGGCCAAGTCTGCAACTTAAACTTGTAGCTCGTTTATATAAATTCGGGCAGCATCTCCCCTGTAACAAGAGCCTCCTCCAATATCATATACCAACAACAATTACCAGAGAAATCCAGCAATACATAATTATCAATAACAAGACACCATAAAACAACAACAAGGCATAACTATTTTACTATGAGCGACAAGCTCCAATTGGAATTCGTATACCCCATATCATCCCTTATAGACTTTTTACTTTAACTTAATAGTATTATTAACATGATAATGAATTCATTCATCAATAATTCCATCCTTATACCATATATCCATAACAAAGAGAATGATCCACAACTCCAATTATTCTTAATTAGCAACTTTATTCACTAGATCATGTCTAGTTCACCCATTTAACTTAACCAATGCCAAGATAATCTTAAGAACCTGTAGGAACACAATATAATTACCTCATACAGTAGATGCAAGTCGAAATACATATTATATTTAGCTTACAACAGCCCAATACACCCCAATCAATTCATATCCAAAACGACGACTATAGTAGTGTCAAACATAATGACTAATCCATGATTTTGCCATTATGTGGTGTTTCTCCACACTATTTATCCTCAAAAAACTCCATTTAACAGAAACAAAATAGACATCCCAAAAGCTACACGAAACAACCCAAAAATAGTCCATTACAAGTCAAATAACTCGAACTCACGGCTTCCGATCACCGTCCCGTGAGTTCTAACTATTATGAAATCAATTAATCAACCTTCCGTGATATTTAAGATATTAAAACCAGAAATTAGGCATTTTTATTAACTTCAAAATACCTTCTAAACTCAAACTATAAAGAAAAAAAAGTGATATAGCGATACTTACGTCGCAGGGATCATTTTGATGTTATCGCTACTTGATTTCG